TCTCTGGTGTTAACACACGCTCAGGCTTTAATCTGCATTTCACACAATTCTTCAGCATCTTACCTCGCCTGCTTCTCATTAAGCGTGTTTATTCTCGGTAATACAAATATCAAATCCTTTCAACCAACTCTCACACAGAGAGCATGGCGTTGCCATGATACGTTGCCATGGAGACCAGCGCAGCTACCACCAGGCATGACTCATCGATTTGTTCTTATGGAGCACATAGAAAGTCAATTAGGCCACGTCATACTAGACTCCGCCGTTTTCTATGGAGCTGAAAAAGTAACCCGAGAATTAGATTTATTTATTTTATTTAATCGCATAGATATCCGCCGGCCAACTGTATCAAATATGGTAATAATAAGAAATTGTATTGCATTGGCGCTATGCCTACAGAAACAGGCGTTGACGTTTATATAAAAGGAAGAAAAACTTTAATTATTGTTTAAAGAGGCCAAAACGAGGAGAGAGAAAAAATCTGGCAGGAATGATGTCAGAGTGTATGTCGGTGTCACAATGCGCGAGGCAGATGACAAAGAGCGCGTGCGATTAGCATTTTCCCCCCTGCGCCTCGCCCTTTGTTTTCACGCGCCCACTTGACACCGCTATCGCTCGCACAGATTGCTAAAAGTGCATTAACACCGGTCGAGAGCATAATTTCGCTACTTTTTAGAACGTCTAGAATTAAACGCGCACGTGCGCGGATGCGGCACGTCTCAGGTGCGACTTCGCGAGCGCTGAGAGAAAGAGGGGCGGTGGTTCATCCACACAGAGACGCGATAAACTCAACGCTTCCATTATAGGAAGCTGTGAACGCTGTGTTTGCATAACTGTGTACAAAACGTATCATCGGGCTGTTCGTTACGTTCAACTAGCCGCGTACACAAGCAAAGCTCGCTCTCCGTGAACGTTTAGCGTTCCATTGCTCGGGTCAGCGCGACAAGAGCTACAGTGGTTATGAAATGAGGCTATCGGTGCCCCTCCCGCTCCTCTTTTGTCTCCGGTGGCGAGTGAATGTGACAGGAGTTTGAGAACGAGTTGTCTCTTTGAATGACTGACATTATTTTTGCACAGAGTATGAACTGTAAACATTGTGGAAACATTTTCATAACAACAAACGCGTTAAATGTGCAATAAAATGAACACCGTTAATGAATAAATGGCTGTATAGATAAACTAAGCGATGGGTTTACTTACTTTTCTGTCAGTCACGTCTTCACCGACAGCCTCGATGATCCCGGAGCACTCCATGCCCGGGGTTACCGGCGGGGACGGGAGCCGGTCGTACAGTCCCTGTCTCGCCATCAGATCTGCGAAGTTCAGCCCGCACATTTTTACGCGCACCATCACCTCGCCGCTCTTCAGAGCTGGCTTCCCCTTCTTCACTTGGAGTTTCACCTTATCATAGCCGCCGTAGCCGGTGAGCACCAGAGCCCGGTAGCTGAACGTGTCTTCCTCTGGGGCTTTCTCCTCGGCGGGCGCTGGGGTGTCGGCGGCGGCGGCGGCGGCGGCCTCGGTGGAGGCGCTGCTGGGCGGTGGGTCTGGTTTGCTCTCGGTTTTTGGGGACTCGGCGGGCGTCTTGGTTTCTTGCTGCTTTTGCTCCTCGGCGTTTTGCTGCTGGGCAGGTGCGTCTTCGCCGGACATGGTCGGAGTTTGAGTCGAGAACTTTTGAGGAGAAAAGACTTGCGTTTGTTTTCCTGCCTCGGATAATGCAGAGCTCAGACGACCTCGAGTATACGAGCTGCTTCGCGGTCCACGGTTTTCTCAGCCTTTGCAAAAAGGATGCTGGAGCCTGAGAAGGTGGAGGACAGGGAGACAGAGAGAGAGAAAGAAAGGGAGTGGAAGATGCCTCACGACGACTAGTGAGTGACCCGAAGCTCTGACAACTATTGAGAAAAAACGAGGCGAGGCGTGGCGAGCTGCAAAGCCCGGAGAAATGGATTTAAGGGTGGGGGGAGAGAATAATGGATTGAAGAGTCCAATGAGGTCGTTTGTGTGCTGACAGGCAGCTGTGCTGACTTCAATTTAGTAAATGCAGTAAAGCTGTTTTTACTATACTCAGCTGAAATTCACACGAGAGAATGAGAGGAATTCTGGCTGAGTGTTAAATACACTTTCACAAATTAATCTTTTTCTTCTTTAGGAATGTGTGCCGTTGAAATGCAACCAGTATTAAATAAGCAGAAGCAGTTTTTTTAATCTACGTGTCGTAATATTTTAGTAGTAAAGTGATTTGTTGCTTTTAATTAAGCTTTAGAAATGAATATATTTTGTTGTAAAGATCTATCAATAAATCAAAAAAATTAAACAAAATAAATTTGGTAACAAAATAATTTTTAAAAATCTTCCATCCCCTTATGTCACTTCAGACAACAAGAGCTGATGTAGTTTTTGACGTTAAAATAAAATTAATAAATAAACATAAGCAAAAGCAAAATAATAAGCAAAATCACACAAGCAAGAGTTCTGTGATTCGGCCGCAGACAGGAGGCTGGATAAGTTAATATAGAGTAATCTAAATTTCATACAACATTTTGTTCAGTTAGTTGGTTTATTTCTTCTCTGGCAATGTAAATATAGTTCCAAGAGAAGCCAAAGCATTTGATTTTTATGTCGCCAAGCTACACATGGACTGGAACAATTTATGTACATGGAGCTCAAAGTGAAGTCAAAGTGTATAATCATATTTTATTATATTTTAAGACAATACACGACACAACATTACAATTAAAAACTTAAGACAGTTTTAAAAAATGTAAATATGGTACTTAGGTCTTGATGTATTCACATTCCATGCTTTTTTCCCCTCAAACCACCAGTGCAAACCCAATATTCCTCCCAAATTTTTTTTCCCAAACCATTCAACCTCAAACCCAAACCAATAAAGACTTTTATTGGCTAACTCAATCACCTGCCAACAAATCAGATCAGATTGTGACAAACAGTGTCCTTATCTTTTAGTTAGGGGTTAGTATTTGTTTCAGTGTTGTGTAGGCAATCAGCACTGTGATTGACTAATGAAATCCTTAGAATCAGATGTGGGGTGGGTTTTGTGC